TTTTGATTGCTTATGATATATTGAGATAATGTTAAGTTCTATTATTATTATTATTAGTTTGTCTTAGTTGAGTTTAGTAGGGAGGTGGAAGGAATACTTTGAGAACCTCCTCACTCCCACCCCGCTGGTGAGACCAGACTCGCACCTGGCCTGAGAATACCTCGGTGTTGTTATGTGGCTGAGGTGAGGGAGTTCTTTGCTAAGGCTCCTGCTCCTATGGCCTAGCCTCAGATAAGAGATAGAAAATGGATAGATAGATTGAATTTCTTGAAACTTTGACCCTGAACTAAGGGTTTCAAGGAAAATGCATGAAAAACATTTCCCATTGATGTCAGACATGGCATGGAAATATTTGAGTATATCAACCACAGGAACACCTTCAGAACGTGCCTTCAGCACCGCTGGTTATATTATTAACCACCTACGCACACTGCTAAAACGTGATAAGGTAAACATACTTGTTTTCCTGTCAAAGAATTTATAAGTTTCGTTTAAAGGGAAGATTTTTCTTTATTTTCTTGTTTGTTTCAGTATTAATATAGCCACTTTTTTGGATTATACATTTATTTATTTGAAATGATCCAAATCACACAAAAGATTTTAACATTACATCTGAGATTTTTTTTTTTTTTATGTTCACTAGAACACACCTTTTGATTTTTAATTTTCTTTTTGTTTAATTCTGTATTTGTTGTTTGGTTGAGTGGTTGATGTGAGTGTTGTCATGGACAGTTAGAGATGGTCATCTCACCTCTGAGCTTTGGTCTGGCTCTCATGTTTCCCAAACAGAGTGGGGACTCTGTTTGGGAAGACTCCCTCCTCTCTGCCCTCATACTGATCCATGCTGCTGTATTCACATCAGCTCACATACACTTTCTACCTTCACCTGCAGAGGAAACACAAATCATTCATGTGCACATCAACTGAAATCCTCCTTTCCATCATGTGTGCTGTCCAAATATCAGCTTCTTCTTTTCTGCTTCATCTCAGTGTCACCTGAATGCAGTCAGATACCAGTGTGAGGCAGAGGAAGCTGCCATCAGCTGCTCTACTTCTACTATCGGTACACCACATGGAGCCATGAAGCACACATGATGCATTCACTGACACACACTGATTCACTGTGACTGGAAGCTTCAGTCCGTTAATATTTAGTCAGTTCAAAACATGTGAACAACATCTTCAAACAATTCAGCTGATCCATCATTCAAATAGGATCAGCAGAGTTAAAAGCTTCACACTAATTATTCCTGCTGAGTTTGCAGAGAACTGCACACACACTGATTTACTGGTAATGAAAAGATTTGCATGAACAGTAGAGGTGCAACGGATCACGGTTGATCCGAAATCCGAACCGATCCCACTCCACGGTTCGGTACACACGTGATCCGAAGATTTGAAAAAGAAAAAAAAAGTATGTGTATGGTGCGCGTGGTCAGTTTGTCAAGCGGTAGTTATGGTCAGTGCTAGCGGTCCAAGTAGCGGAGTAGAAGAGTTTGCGGCACTTAAGCAGCCCTTTGCTGCCCAGTCCGACTGGGCTAAAGCTATTACAAAAGCTAATTTTGTAATAGCTTCCGTTGTGCAAAACAAGGGGTTTAAACTGTGATGAACGTGCTTGAGCCACGCTATGATATCCCGTAGCGCGTCCACTTCAGTGTGACAAGATCGTTCCAAACGTGTATGAGCAGGAGAAGTTTAAAGCTATGGCTGAACTGTCCCAGGCATCTTCTGTTGCTCAAACTACAAATGGGTGGATCTTCAGGGCAACGGAAAGCCACGTGACCATGACCGCTCGTTATATCACAGCGGAGTGGTAGATACAAAGCCCTGTACTGCCCTATAGATTACATTAGATTAGATGAAACTTTATTTATCCCTCATTCAGTTTCCAATAGCACAGCACCAACAGAAGTTGCAGAATGTGAGCAGAAATATACCACATATACACATATATAAATACAGAGACTACAAAAGGGATAAATAGAATGAATAGGAATAAGAATACAAGTGAATTGCACATTTCAAGTATTGTGAGTCTATTACACCGTTGGATATTAACAAAAGTATTGCACAAAAGGTAATTGCACAGTGAAGTGAAGAGGCACTACAGCTTAGTTGCCCCCCCCTCCTTTGTCCTCCTGTTTCCCCTCCCTCTCCCCTCCAGAGAGGAGTTAAACAGTCTGATGGCGTGTGGGACAAAGGAGTTTTTAAGTCTGCTGGTTCTTGTCTTTGGGAGAAGCAACCTGTCACTGAACAGACTCTTCTGGTTGTTTATGGCCGTGTGCAGAGGATGCCCAGCATGGTCCATAATGTCCATATTGCACCTTAATTTGTTTTTATATAAGTGCGTGGAATGAGTCTTCAGTTTAATGATTTTTAATAGGCAAAAAATACTTAAATAAGTAAATGGCGAGTCTAATTTTTGTCTTTTTTTTCTATTTTTGATGATCCGAAAATTGATCCGATCCGTGACTTAAAACCGTGATCCGATCCAAACCGTGAGATTTTTGATCCGTTGCACCACTAATGAACAGCCAAGCAGAGCTGCTACTAAACTTTAAGTTCCTTATGAATTGGTTAATCTAGAAGGCTACTGATACATTTTTTTCCCTATCAAATAACTTTTGGAAGCTCCAGAATGAAGGGTGTCAGAAGTGTGGGCAAATGCCCGGTATGCCCGATGGAGATTTTTCGTTTTTATGTTTGTTTTTGTAATGGTATAAACAATGAAAAGTGGTGGATTGGCCATTTGGTCATGATTCTGTAATGACTCTGGGCTGGACCAATTACAATACATCTGTATTGAGGTGAAAAGGAAGCGATTTGTCCCGGACTTCAGCTACAATGAAAAAAAGACACAAAGCTGGAGTTATTCTGTCTTTACGCTGTCAGCTGCATCTTCTTCTCTCATTCTCTCCCCCTCTCTCTCCTGTTTCTACTTCAATCATGAAACTGATCAATGATCAGCTGATCGGCTTTTTTCTCTCTTGTTTGTTTATCGTCCACTTTGCACCAGAAAGAGGAAACCAGCGGATGTCACACTAAACAACAGCAGTATGTTTAAGCTTGATCAGCTGTTGTTAGAATTAATTTAATATTAATTTCTAGTATCAGCTGATGTTTGTTGGAGCCACAGCTGTAAAGCTGCTGGTCATGATATCAGTTTGTATATGTGGTGAGAGGGAAACATGAAGATGAATCCAGGAGATGTCCTTACGTGGTCATGTGATATATACTGTATAGAAATCATACATATACCAACAAGACAGTGTACATCACTGTCACAACAACGTTTGTTTTCATTCAAAGGCTTTATGGCTTTTCCTATAATACCTGGTGGGTCGGTCTCTAGTCAAAATGCCCGGGCTGATTTTTGTCCAAGTCCAGCCCTGGTCTATAATATGTCTATAATCATGTAGATTTCTCTTCAAACACAAGTGATCCAAAGTTTGTCCTAAAATAAGAGCTGAACATCTGGTCCAAACATTACTGAACTGAACAAACAGTAAAGTTCCTAAAGACAAACTGTTAAAGAAGGAAACAAAGGAAACTTACAGTTTCTTCACACAGAGACACCGATACAGAACAGCCTCGTCACAGGGATCGATTTCCTGGAATTAGTCAGGGTTTCCTGAGAGACACGAAAGAGAGGGGAGGAGACGGGTTTTCACAATAAGATTTTTGTAATTTCTTTGTTTTTGTTTTTCTCTAATTTGACAGACTTAAAGTAACTTGGTCTCAGAAATACAGAAAGATAGAATAACATTTGTAACAGCTGCAATTTTATTTTTCTACCGTGGCAGGCAGGACCTCGGGGCACCCTTACACAGTAACTGATACACGATACATTGTGTAACATGACACCTCTTTGTGGGTGTAGTCCATATGACTTCCTGTTGGAGCAGAGCCAACAGTTTGTGACGCAGTGTTTTTAACCAAAGGTCTACATGTTGAATCTGTGTCTAAGAGATATATATAATAAATAATGACTTTATAAAGTTTAATATAACCTGTGTACCCCCTCTGCCCGCAGTGTTATTAACAACTGGAGCTCAGAGTCTCTCTAGCAGCTGCATTTAGTGCATCAGTGACCGACAGAGCAGCGGCTCCTCTCCGCCCCCTCCCATCACTGATGGAGGCAGGAAAAGCTGCCTTCATTCATTAAGAAGCGTCTCCACAGTAAAGAAGACCTGAGTTCAGCTACTGACCATCAACTGGAGGATGACACTGAGTGGATGGGAGCAGATCGGACTTTGGTAAGTACCTCGATCTCTCTTTGAAACTAAAAACAGGTCATTTGTCAGCTCGTGCAGCTGTTTTAAAGCATCACCTGCTCAAAAAATGGTAACACAAATGGAAATGTGCTGTGAGACGATAGTGCGCTCACAGCCTAGTGTCTTCTTCAGCTAAAGACATTTTTCGTCAGTTTAACTTAGATTCCATGTTTTTGCACTTTTATAGGTGCGGTTATATTTCTCCATTACTGTAAGCTACTGTGCGTATATGGTTGCACATACGCATCATCATTATTATTTATTTGAATAGTTAAATGTCTTTTCAAAGCTAGTTTCCACATGGTCTGCTGCGGACCCTGCTCACCACATCTACACTTCAGACAGCTGCAAGTTCAGAGAGTGCCGGTGATAAAGTGGACAATGTGCTGCATTCAGGTGCACCTCGGAAATTCTCAAATCTCTTCTTAAATAGCTTGAAGATTTTCAAAAAATGTGTTGGCTTTGTTTCACTCACGTTTATTAGTTACACAAAACAAATTGCAGACCACATTTACTGTAGTGAGATTAAAATTAAAATTGTACTGTTTGTACCATATCTACACGTTAAAAACATTATTTGGTATAAACTGTTCCATTTCCCCTTTGTAAGACAGAAATACGAAGAAACTTTTGTAACATCTGCACTTTGACTCAAATTTTGTCTGTGGTGTATGGATACAAGACAATTACTGTGAGCAGACTATTTCTGTATATATAAATATGGCAGTATTGTACAATACCTTTACTATTGTAAAAGTAATTATATTTTTAAAGTATTTTAATACTCATGGGGAGGGGTAAATAAAATGATATTTATTGTTTTAACTGTTTCATCGTGTGAGTTTTCTTTAAATCAAAAGTGTGACTGTAGTTGTGCAAAATGTCTCTTCTGTTCGGGTGAAGTCAAAATGGCTTCCTGTTGGAACAGAGCCAACAGTTTGTGACGCAGTATTTTTAATCGTAAATCTAGATGTTTAATCTGTATCCGAGCCATATATCCAGTAAATAATGACTATATTGATTCCGCTGTGTCTCCCTCTACACTCTCTGCCCGCAAAGTTAATAACACTCGGAACGCAGACGCTCTCCAGCGGCTCTCTGCTCGAGCTCCGGCCGCATTCAGTGAGCGGGAGAGCAACGGCCCCTCTCCGCCTCCTCCACAGACTGATTGAGACAAGAAAAGCTGTCTTCAGTCATTATAAAGTGGATCCACACAGTAACAACGACTCTGAGTTCAGCTGCTGACCATCAACTAACTCTGCTCCTCTCGTTGCCACATTCTACGTACATGTACGCGTGCACATATATACACGCAAAAGTGTACTCGCCCTCGTTTGTCCCTTCGTCACACTTTGAGCTGTGAGTTCGTGACCGTGTACTATGGAGCACATTTATGCTGGAACAAATCTACAAACAGCTGATCTGAACGAGAGAGAAAGGAACCCTTACATTACTTCTGTTACCTTAACACGGAGCTTCACACGAAGACAAACAGCAACCACGAAGTTCAGGAAAACGAAAGTAAACGTTGAGCAGGAAGCCCTACCCACACTAGTTTGCCGTTCCCCAAAATAAAATAAAAAAAACATTCACGCACCCTACACAGTTACTTGATGAAAACGGGTACGGTCGATTCCTTATCAAAAGTCATTATTCGTGTGTTGTCCTACATTCAGATGTTACACATAGATCTCGGGTTACATATAATAAAGCAGCATAGTCTCAAAACGGCCACAAAGTTCCATCAGCCTCAAACAGAGCACCTCAGCCTGGTAAACGGACACCGATTCTTCAGCTCTACGAGTACACACCGTTTTTACACATGAAATTTGTTAGTTGGATGCTCGCTCTGCTCGTTTTTGACCCGCTTCGCACAGACTGCGGCTGATTATTGAAACGAAACGTCCTCATCTTTGCGCATATAAATTATTGGGTTGCTGTGCAAATCACAAGCAGACATTTTCACTCAACATGAGCGAATTTTTGCATGAAGTAAGATACAAGACAACCTTAGAGTAGATCAAAGGGTCAAAGTTCAAATTAGGACGACTTTTTAGAACAGAGTTCTTCTCACTGAGCTTTATTCACTCACTGGATATCATAGTGGCGGCCCACTATGATTATTTATACAATATGCGAAAGCACGCGACAGACCAGAGGATACATGTGCACGTTGTGTGATTTCAAAAATACCATTATTTATAAATGAAGGCTAAAAAGGCAACTCAGAGATTTGCCTTTATACACACAAAATGCACAAAATAAAACTTAACTCTATAGGCTAATATTATTATGCATGTTTTAAGGCTGATTGAAAAAATAATTTAATAATTCTTTTAATAATTTCCCATGTTGAGCATTTGCACACGTTTGGCCTATTTAGTGAAGATGTGTCTCTCTCCTTTTTTACGTTTTCTGTTTTAATTAATTTGTTATTATTATTATTATTATTATTATTATTATTATTATTATTATTATTACAACAACACACATCCCAAAAACATTCTGTGTGGAGAGTAGAGCACCAAATGTGCCAAAAAAGAAATAAATACATAATTAAAAATTAGCTGTCACCAAATATTTAAAATTGTAAATAAACAAATCTCTGTGTCAAATTCACAGTTAAATTATTCAATAGATCATTAATTAATATATTATTATATTAAAACATAAAATTATTTTATAGTCAAAATATTTCCTGCAGTGCATTATGAAATATTTTACATTTCTTTATCTTAAATGCCTTAAACTGAACTTCTGTCAGATGTGAACAGTCATTCATGCTCTGCCTTGATTTTCACATTCTTTAATAGTTTTATATTCTTGTCTGCAGCAGCTCTTCCAGAGTCAGTATATTGGTTTGTTTTAATAAATGCGTCTTCCAGTTCAAGCTGTGTTTACTGGTGATCTGGAAGACGTGACAGATGACCGTTCCAAACATGAAGTTTTTAGTTTCTTGGGCTCAAATGAAATGTATAAATCTGTGTCCTTCTCTTCACATAAAATACTGTGTACAAGTATCTGTCTCTTCCTGATTTCGTTCTTCTTCTTCTTTTTCTGCATATTTCTCACACTTATATGTGTCAGATCTTCAAACACATTTTAATATTATGCAAAGATAATCCAAGTAAAACAAAATTGAGTCGTTTTTTTTATGTGTTAATGGGGGGGGGGGAGACTCTGTTAACAGGTAACAGAGCTCAGCAAGCTGAGAGGCCAGCACCTTGTTGCTGGTGGTTTGTGTATTGTGGATAATCCTCTGGTCATTGACAGTAAACTGAGGGGAGACCAGAGTGTTAGGCAAGCTGCCACTGGCTCTGTTTTCATGGATATGTGATCTGTTACGATCTGTGGTTTTTATGGAAACACAGCTATTATTAGTATTAGGTACTAAACACCCAAAGACACTCAGTAAATCACATCGTTGCAGGTCTAAGAACATCTTTGCCTTCTCTATGCATCAGAATATAAATTATAAATATAATATAGTGTTTAAAATGAGCACAGGCTGTCAGCATATTTAAAAGAATAAAAGACTTGGAGCACAAACTGTATTTTTTCATTTGCTCCAATTTTTTTTTCACTAAACAGGTTGTTGTTGGTTTGTGTTTGTGTGAAGTAATGTATTTATTCGGGTTTCCTTTTTTTGATGACCTGAAAAATGGAAGAGTGACAAATATTAAAAAAAGAATCTGGGTCTCCCAAAATTCCTCTTCTCTCATCAGGAGTAATTTCAGTTAACATTAACCTCCTGGTTCCAACAATTATGTGGGATTTATTCTCAATGCTCTCTCAGTCAACTTGCTTCTTCTTTCAGTTTTTGTTTCTTCAGTATAGATTATTTCTAGGGGTGCAACGATACTCGCATCGATATTGAACCGTTCGATACAGTGCTTTCGGTTCGGTACGCATATGTATCAAACAATACAACATTTTTAATTTATTTTATCAACTTTTCTTCTGACGGTGCTGTCTGTGTTGAGCGCTCAGTGGATCTGTGCTCAACAGTGCAGCCTAGGCGCAGTAGTCAAACGCAGATTCACTGAGCGCAGGGCAAGCTAGCAAGACAGAAGTTAAGCTCTCTGTTGCAACATGGCAAATCGAACCTCCCCCACCCTCATTCAGATCTGGCGTTTGGAACTATTTTGGTTTTCATGTGATGTATGACCCTGAAGGTAAGCGAGTCATGGACAAAAGTAAAACAGTATGTTGGATGTGCCAGCAATGCTCAATTACATGGGTGGGAACTAGTGTGTTAGCGCAGTTAGCTTGTTAACGTGTTGGCCGTCCAGCCCCAGCACGGGGCGATCCGCAGTAGCTCGTTAACGGAGATTTGCCGTGTTGTGGCGTTAACGTCATTTCAGATTAACGCTGACAGCACTAGTGGGAACACAACGAATATGACTGCACATTTACTCCGACATCATCCTAGTGCAAAGACAAGTGGAAGCAGACAAAAACAACAAGCACACATGCTACAAACTTTACCCGAGTCATTTAGACAGCCGTTAGCACATGATTCTCCTTATGGGGACCTGATATGTTTAATATGCTGCTGAGAATATAGCCCAGAAGAAGCGTATAGTATAGCTTTTATTTTGGAAAGAGACATTTCTCTGTAATAAACTCTCTTTTCCAAAGATGAGTGATTCCTCAATCAGATAGATTTTTTTTTTATTTTGTTGTTTCAGCAACATTAAATTTAAAAACTGTACTTTTGAGTTAAAATATATATTTATAATTTTAATAAATGACAAATTAAAAAAGCATGAACATTTTTTTGTATCGAAAAAATATCGAACCATGACACCAAAGTATCGAACCGAACCGTGAATTTTGTGTATCGTTGCACCCCTAATTATTTCCTTTATCTTCAGTCATCATATAAACATATATATTATAATTATAAATATATTAAATTAGTTGCTTGCAGCTCTCAGGTAAGGCAGGTGACAAGCACAAAGAAGCCATCATGCACGCGAGGGTCTGAGGGCTGAGGGTTTCCCCGGTCGCAGTAAACTGTGCAAGCACTTTTGGAAAAAACAAAACAAAACAAAACAAAAAACCCCAGTTCATTTCTGCTCTGTTTTTAGTAAAAGCTCAGTGTTACTGAGAAGCTAAAGTAAGGGCAACTCTGCTCTAAAGGCTTGACATGAAAACAAAATAAATAATAAATAAACACTTGTAGATGCAGCTATCACAACGACATCATTCATAAATTGAGCACAATTTCCTGAATTCATTATGAATTCCAAGACAGGCAAAAATGGGCTTTAGAATGGCAAACTATAATATTTGACTCATAACATTGCAGAAAGTAACAAACGGAATCCGAGTATCATCATCTGTTTTCACTCACTTCAACACATGTCAAAAAAATCATATTTTGCATGGTTGGATCTTAACAAGGTTCTAATTAGAGCTTCAACGTGTAGCAGGCGGATGTTTGCCCTGGTGCAGATGTGCCGCAGAGGTCAGTGGAAGAATCCGTGAGTTTGTCTGTGAATTTCCCATTCCCTGGTAGCGTACTCGTGCTTGGAAGTTAAGGGGGTTTTTTTCTTCCCATGCACTGTACAGCGGACGCTAATGTTTTTGTCACTTTTTATGGAATCAAACATTGCAACATTGCTTGAAAATGTATTCTGAATGATGCGTCAAGCTTTCCTTTTAGCTCTGCATGTTATTTAATTAGTCTTTCCTTACTTTCAGTTTTGTTTCTATTGAAATGTAAATGATAAACCCAGAGTGGTGAGAGTCAATTGGCAGTACGTATTTGTACAAATATGCCATTCAGAATATATTGCTTCAAATTCTGTTGAAATACACTTACATTTTCATCATGGTTTTTTAAATGCACAAGGAGAAAACTTGATAAATACAACCAGTAAGTCTTGTTTTTTTAACATGTTACATATGAAAGAAGTCAATTTTGTCAAAACAAAACATCATTTTTGTTTGGTGTTTTATTTAGAAAAAAATAATCTATTTTGTGATTAAGGAAAGATTAGTAAGAGTAATTTTAAAACTTAGTAGCGGCCGCCATTGTTGG